GAGAGCAATACTGGCGTCTCGATTCCCGACTATATGTCTGTTTTTACATATTTGATCGAGCACCCGCAACAGGCGGCGCAATGGGGTCGTCATATGACGAGAAAGGGCAGTCTAAATTCAGCATTTGCCCTTTACCTCTCTGTGCATATTTTTGATGCCTACCGCATCGGAATTGAGGATGGATATTTGGTTCCGCTGTATGGCCTAGGCGCCTCACGTGCGGACATTATAATGTCATTGGTACAGGCTGAGCGACGCCTCTCGGACTTCAATAGTGAGGACCCAAGTTTTGATGCCTCCACAGTTCTCGATTTGAGTATCGACTCTCTGCGGGCCGGTGGTGGATCCATCACGGCCCCGATTGAGTATGCTGAGGCATACGTACATTTATGTCGAGAACAACAAGGTTGACATGGTCCCCGCTGCACAGCGCGACGGCCAAAGCGCCATTGTTTTTGCTGACCCGCCGACTGGGAAGCACCATAGGCGGGCAGCCACTCCTATATAGGGGAGATCATCGGTCTGCTACCCCGCGACCTGATTTCAGGGCAAAGGGGGATCAACAAAAGGGCAAAGCCCCTGCGCACTCCTGGCCCAAGGGTGGAGGTCACAAGGGTGACCAGTTCTCCGGCAAGGGTCACAAAGGTGACCAATTTACAGGAAAGGGTCACAAGGGTGACCAGTACAAAGGCAAGGGTGGCCAATACGGCTACCAACAAGGGCAGCCCGGTCGTGGCGGATCCGCCAGATCGAGAACTCCCACTGGCGGGTATCAGCCTGATGCTCGCGAGTCGGGCTACAGGGGCGCACAGGCTGCTCCTTTCCCGTTCCCAAGTCCGATGTATCCCAATTTCCCGATGGGAGGATACATGCAACAGCCCATGGTTGGCATGATGCCGCAAATGTGGCCCGGCGCAATGCCGCAGGGTTGGCAGCCGCATATGCAGGGTGATCCCCGCGAGTTCGAGAATCCGAACTCGCCGCATACCCCTACCTGGGGTGACGATGACGAGTTGGCCGAGACAGTGCCTCCTCGGGGACTGGAATGTCAACAAGGGGAAGGGACGGCACGGCGGCGGACGACATCAGTAATACCTGAAGTCTGTCTGTGTGTTTTGCATGGCTGCGCCAACGCGCGCATGCTTTCATTTCGGAATTCACAGGATGGACTATGCTCCTTGTCGTATTTCGTTGTCTGGGCTATTCGCCATTTCAGAATTCATCTGCATGCGTGGCTGTGCGCTATTCGCGCAAGCTGCGATTACCTGTCAGGTGTGCGTCGCCACAGCAAGGCAGTCACCCTCGGCGGCGTCTATGGCCGCTGGTGATCTGCATCCTCCTGCACCGCGGCTGCTGCTGGTGATGGAGCTCATCAAGGTGCCGAGGTGAGGATCACGGATGCCCCGCACCGCTGCCGGTGAGGTCCTACTCGGACCTGAACCGCCGAATGCCGCTGGCGGTATCCCTGGAGGTTGTCTTCGAGTGATCGCGCGCCTAGACGGTGCCGTTCAAGGCCGAGATATTTCGGTCTATGCACCACGCTTCAACCAGCAAGCCAATGCGCTTTTGACAATATAATTCAAGCCCTAAATCCACGTGAATCTAATGATTCAATGTGGTTGCATCGCAGATATTTCATGCCTGCCATTTTGGAGTTGAATCTTTGTTTCTTTCCTTCTTTTGTTTCTCTTGGTTGATTTGGCTACCGGCGTGATCCGCCCCATACCCGTAATTCGGGGTGGTGGCGGGATCCGGGCTCCAAAGCGAGCCCGGGTATGGGGTCGCGAACCCTGGTAGTCTAATCGTCTTTGTTCCTTTTTTGGTGCTATTCAACTTCAAATGGCCAATGCGCCTTTCCAAATTCACTCCTTCTCTTTGTACAGTCGAGGGGGGTGTTTTTGGGGGCATGTACTTTTATCATAGCGTATGTCATTTCCTGCCTATGCCCAACGCGGCATTTGGCTCAAGCTTTTCACCGCGTCGGACTCCGCCGCCATAACGGCATCGGCTGCCTACGGCGCCGCTACTCATCTCGGTCTTGCAAAAGATCGGGCTGAGGTTCGCGGCGGTAGGCACGTTCTTTGGTTGTGGGTCGGTTGTTTGTCTGGTGGTGTGCGCTCTGTTGCTGCTGCTCCGCTTTTGCTTGGTTAATTGCTTTGCTCGCTTGCTTGCTGCGCTCGCCTGGTTGGCTGCGCTGGTCCCCTTTCCTGTTTGGGTTTTGCGGTTAAACAGGATCCCCCGTTTGTTATCTGTGTGGTTCATTGCCAGCCGAGGGCACCACTTTGCCCTTGGGACTGGGGGGCTTAAACTGTCTCTTCTTGTTGGTGGGTTAGGGCCTGTTTATTCTCTCCCGAAATACTGTTTCAAACCCTTTCGCATTTTGAATTTTCTCAGTTTGGATTCTCATTCTGGTGTGATTTTCACAGACGGAGCGAGCAAGCAAGTGAGTGAGCGACTGGTGATTCCAAAGAACAAACTCCGGGATCCCGATTGTTTTTTGAAATCACGCGTTGGGGAGTCCTGTTCTTTGAAATCCCACCGGCTCCAGTCCTTTCCTTTTTGAAATCACATATTTCCTGGGGGGTCAGGAGTCTTTTTTGTTTCAAATCACGTCTGGGGGGTCCCGGTGTTTGTTTATTGAAATCACGTCTGGGGGGTCCCAGTGTTTTATTTTTTTAATCAAGCCCGGGGTCCTGGTCCCGGTGATTCCTTATTGAAATTGTTAGGGGGGTTCCGTTTTTTGAAATCACGCCTGGGGGTCGATGTTTGTTTTTGTTGCATTCATGCCTGTGGTCCCGGGTATGTTTGCTGCCAAGCGATTATGAGGAGGGGTCCGCTTCCCACCCTTGGCCCAATTTACCCAAACCATTGTGAAAATGAATTCACCCGCAGGAGCCACATGCGGGGGGGTTCTGCAAGACAACTACTAGCAGACAGCGGGCACGTGCAAGTGATTCCCTGCGCGTGACACGCTGCAAACCCGGCAGCTGCAACGCTGTGACGGCAGCGTTGGAACGCCGCAGGCGCGAGTAGTTTCCGGTTACGCGTGCGACACTGGATGCGCCAATCGAAATCCTCCGCACGCACGTCAGCGACGCACGCGACACAACCAGACCGCCAGGAAAAGAATCGCGCACGTCGCTACATGGGCAGTCTGGAGCTCAAAGTTGTGAGGTCTGCGAACTCAACTTCGGCCGCCCCAGCTGTTCGCAGCACTTAACACGCGAGCCGAGCATTCGGACTCGACAAGAATGCGCCCGCGTTCACCCAGGCGCTCCAGCTAGTGGCCGGGATAGCGTGCCAGCCGGGCAGGAGGAAGGGTCCGACGACTTGGTTTCGTGAATTTTGCCATGAACCTGCGCGCGATTTGAAGCGCTTCTTCACAGCCACAATGGCTAACGCAAGCTAGCAGCCCACCAAAGGAAACTACTTGCAATCCTGTAACGGAACCTCCTCTGTTTGTCAATTGCGAGTCCAAGAACTTTTTCACGCCGCCGACGCACGGCCTTCTGAACTTCGACAGCTTTGGCGGTTCCTGCCCGGGTCATGATCGACACAATCGGCTTCCTCACTGGGAAGGGCCTGAAGGGCGCTTCCTTGAAGAGCTTGTGTTCCTTCATGCAATGAGCTGCTCACCGGCGCCCTTGATTCGTCTGAAGCCAAGGAGCACATCCAAGAATCCAAGAAGGCTACTTGCAATCCCGTAACGGAGCCCCTCCTGTTGTCAAATGCGCTTCCAGGCACTTTGTTGTCACGCCCAGCGCGGAAGCCCCCAACCTGCTGTCCATGTAAGCGCTGCACATCAAGGAGCTGACGCGGGCGGGCCATGCTGCCTGCGGCTGCCGGACCTGTTGCAGCTTCAAATCGGTCGCTATCTGTTTGCCAGCATCAGCGGCAGAGCCTCCATGGTTCGGGAGCAGGGCATCACTCCGTGGATCACGCTGCAGGACAAGCCTTGGACGCCGGGCTACTGGAAGAAGCACCATTCGGTTTTGTAAGTTCCCGGACTTGTTCGTCACGCTGTCTCCCTCCGAGAACACGTTTCCTTGGCCACAGTGGCTGCAGAATCTGCGCAAAGGCGAACACCCTGCGGGGCACGCTGGCGAGGAATTTTTGCACGCGCTACGTGTCTCATTTGTTTTTTCACAGACGAAGCGACTGGTGATTCCCAAGAAGGAACACCTTGATCCCGGTGTCTTTTTTTTAATCACGCCTGGGCGAACCTGTTCTTGATTGAAATCCGCCGGCTCCAGTCCTTTTCTTTTTGGAATCACATATTTTGAGATTGTGCCTGGCCTGACTTCAAAAGAAAAAACAGCAGGGCCCAGAGGCGTGAGTTCAACCAAAAAAGCGGAGCCCCAAGGCGGTGAAGTCTAAAGAAGAAACACCCCGGTGAATGCAACAATTACAAGCGCCGGGACCCCCAGGGCTGATTTCACTGAAAACACCGGGACCCCCCAGGCGTGTTTTCAAAAACAACACACTGCCACCTCCCGGGCGTGATTTCAAAAAATGAAACACCGGGATTCCCCAGTCGTGATTCCAATAAACAAACACGGGCCCTCCCGGGCGTGTTTTAAAAAAAGCATTTGGACCCCCCACGCGTGATTTCCAATATAGGTGATTCCAAATAAAAAGCACAGGAGCCACATTGAGCCACCCAAACATGTCCCCGCACAAGAAAAAAACAAAAACTGTTTGTTTCCTTTTTGAGTTTCTGCCCAAAAAAGGGGTACAGTCCCAAAGGCGAGACCAGTTCTTCAGTAGCGGCACGTGGGAACTGTTTCTTGAAATTCAACTTGCAAAAAGAGGTGCCCAGTTTGTTCAGAGCAAAGGCTTGCCTTTTGATCTTGTTGCCTGTTTGGTTTCCCTTCATTTCCCTTCCCTTCGAACTCAAGTTCTCCAATCCGGGCTTCGCAGTATAGCACCATATACAGATCATAATGATGATTTCCGCTTGCCCCTAGCGTTTTCCCCGGTGGTTTGTGGGTGGAGTGGAGGAGTCCTTTAGCCGGCCGAAGACCAACGCTTCATGGTGGATCATGCCTGAGGCGCGGATGTGTTGCCGTGTTTTGTTTTGTTTGTTTTCGGCTTGCAGGTGAGGCGATAGTCAGGGGAAGGAGGGTCTGGTAAGCGACCCAAGGTATAGTAGCGCCACATGCATCCGTGCAACGTGCTCTCTCGACTGAGGTGATGGGGGTTTTCATTCGTTGGAGAGATGTCCAACAGCCGTCGTCTCGAGGCTGCGGTGATGGCTAGCGTACTAAATGCCCTGTTCGACTTCTCGCCGCGCATGGAACTTCAGCATGGGTGGGCATCGGGCAGATCAGTCCGTGTGTAGCGGGCCGCTTCTTATGCTTCTTGGTGCCATGCTACTCCATACCCGGTCAGTTCTGTTGCTCCCCGTTCTTCACTGTTGTTGTTGGGTTGGTTTGCATGTTTGTTCAGCATGTTTGTTTGGTTGGTTGGTTGTTGTGTTTGGCTGCGAGAAACACATGTCTTTCCTAGCATAGGGTTGGCAAGGTGGGTTTGGAGCAGCTTAGGCAACCCAAATTTCACATTCGGTTTCAGGAGGGCGGCGCTTGTCGGAGTGCAACAGCAAATGGTAACATGTTGGATCAACCAGCACTAAAACGGTCTGCCAAACATGGTGACTGTTGGTGTTTGGGGTCCAAGGTTTGCGCAAAGCAGGCAACCCTTGGCACCGTCTCAACGTCAGGGCGCTTCATCGCGCGATATCAACTTCGACGCGAGGAAGCGTTTTGGGGAGCAACAATAGGTGCCCCACAGTTTGGTGTCAATGAGGGCTGCACTGGATGGGGTCTATGGAGGTCGGGACCATGACAGGCACCACGTTCAGCGTTCAGCGGCGGGAGGTTGCCTAAGTTTTGCACCCATTCGATTTCTGGGTCCTTTGGGCAACTGAGAAAAGCCGACCAGATTTGGGTCCCCAGCTTCGGCAACGCTTCCATGCTTTGAAACGTAGCTTCCTGAACCCCCGTTAGGTAGGCACCGGGGGCTTGGATAACAATAGTTTCCCAACATTTGTTTTTTGGGACGTTGCCAGGCACCTCCAAAAAAAAGGGTTCCTGACTCCCACGTGTGAATCCCAGACCTCCAAAGGATCCCGTTTTTGGGGTTTCTCTTTTTTTTTTTTGCGGGGTTTCTTCTTAAAACCAACTCTCAAAGAAAGTGTCCTTTTTCTCCCATGGCCACTGGGAGTCTGGGTTGTAGTAATTGACTTGCCCTGTAAACTGCTGGTCGACATACACGATTTAGGGGACCCGTTCAACGTGCTCCGCCGAAGGACGATCATGGGTATTTGTTCTCAAGGGTACCAGTGTTTTTAAAGAGAATCCAAAGGGAAACCTGTGCAGGCTCCCTTCAAGACAGACCCAAAACCTATTGACCTTTGTAGGCTCCCTTTTGCGACAGACACGTAGCATCCCAAAGGAGCCCATCGACCCGCTTTGGCCCGCGCCCGATGCCCAGAGCACCGTGCTCTACCTCATGGGCCTCGCAGCGCAGAGTCTACAAGCGCGTCAGGCGCACGCGCAAGAGGTCGACCGACCTCGAGGTCGGGGGTCTCCAAAGAGGTTGGCGAGGCTATGAAGCGGAACCTGGATGCATGTTTTTGTTGTTTTGTTTCTCTGTGTGCAAATTGTTGGGCCAAGTTGGGCACGGCAGACATGGGTGTCTGGGCAAGCAGGGGACCTACCTCATCACGTGCACTGCCGTGAGATGTTGAGAAAGAGGCAGTAGGCTGCCTAGGCATACCTATACCTGGGTTGATGTTCTGGACTGTGTTGACCAGCAAAGCCAGTTTTGTTTCAGTCGGTGGCTTAAGGTCCGCAATGTCATTAGTGTCAGCATCAAGAATTGTCGTCATGGGTAGACTTCAGTAGTTTTAAGGACTGTTGCCGCGCAAAGGGTGTACCCCTACTACCCCATTACTCTTACCTCCAGGCTGACGCCATATAGATGTTGTCATTGTTAATGTACTGTAAACAAAGATGTATGGCATCCCAGGAAACTGGGGCACAACAGCCTAAGTGGCACATGATTTTCATAGTGATGTTGACTGGCTAGGTGTTCATCAGGATACTGAAAGGGTGGGACACCACGAATTTGAGCCATTAGAACTGAGCTTGGGGCGTGTACTTGCTTTTGTCTCCAACAAAGCTGCTTGACTTTGCTCTGCGTGGCTGTGAGACGCCGGTTTTTAGGCTGTGGGGAATCCCCTAACAAAGTGAAGAGCTAGCGGGATGACCCACTTTGGCACAGAAGGATCACTCCGATGTTCGGCCAAGGTCAGTGGCCGACCACTTGGGGTATGACCCGTTACTAACAGAGTGAACCCCACTAAGGGGACTAAGGTCAGTCGGTTATATTTTAAGTTACCAACAACCTGCCAGCTTGGTTGAGCACGACATGTTGGGTGTCCCAGACCGCCAGTTGTGTCACATCCAGGCACCCTCCCAGTGCCGGTGAAAGGAAGGGTCTCCATTTCTTGCATCACGCTTCCTGAGTTCTTGGACTTTCCGCTTGGTGGGACCATTTGAGTGGCCCAGTGGCACAGAAACAGTTCGGACTTTCCTTGGCCAGTCGTTCAGAAGTGAGAGCAACGAGACATGGAGGTCCACAGTGGGGTGTGCGCTGGCAGGTGTCCCCGTTCGAGGATCACCCTTGCCACAAGGCCGGGTCTCAGATTCAGCCATTTCGTGGGTGGTTCTGCTACCTGGTTTGACTCCCAAGGAGGAAAGGCCTCTTTCAAGCGGTTTTTTTTTGTTCAGGCAACCCCCCCATTCGACAGGTCCCGTGGGCACTCGAGGGTCCCCCAACGGGCCCGAAAGTGCGGATCATGGCCCACCGTTCCAAGCCGCGATGTATCAGAGCGGACCCGTGTATTTGCAATTTCCCAAACATTTTATGTCATCCGGTGGAAGAAACGGACAAGCACATAGGACTAGAAGGACTTGAACCTCCAACCTTCCGCATACGACGAGGCGGACACGCTACCATTGCGCCATAGCCCCTGCTGATCTTGAGTCGGGCCAAGCGGCTGAGGGAGTCATTGCTGTTGGCCGCCATGATCTCGGTCGCCTCGCGCCGCCGGGTGAGGGGGTGGAAGGCAGAACCTGGAGGTCTCCTCCATTGATCGATCCGACTCAAAAGAGCCTGTCAGTGTGGCAGTTGGTTAATATACAGGACATCACCCCTTCCCAGGCCCTAAGGCCCGGGAAGCAGTTGGGAGCCTTTGGGCTGTCCCAGACACGCACCCACACTCACACACAGATACACCAAATGCACCGGTGCCATGTTGGTCTTCCCAAGGAGGGAGGTTTTGTTGGTGTTTGGGGCGTACCCAAACGAAAACTTGGGTGTGTATGCAACTAAATGCAACCCACGCGAGCAGGAGTTGTTTCCCTTAAAAATCGGTTTTCGGGGCTTCGAATCCACTCCTTTGGTGAGTAAAAGACACCCCAGTCGCCAGGATCTGCCGGGCAACTTCATGTTCCTGAAGCCCCAGATGGACTGCGGGTTCAGTGGAAATGTCGCTGAAATGTCAGGTGAGTTCATGTGGGGGAGTGATTAGTAAAGGACCCCCCCAAACAATCCAATAGGGAAAACCCTAGAATCACATGGGGGGGTCCGAGTTGGGCCTGCCCATTTACTCGCAACCCGACATTACGATCACGGGTGAAGTGGCAGACTTGCGTTTGAGGCATTTAGCGTTTTGGTTTTCCTTTGCTTCCCCGTTCACCTAGCGAAAGTGAGGTTTTTGTCCGAGGGTCGGATCCCTTTACTCCAGGCAAGTGAAGGTCTGCAGGGAACAGTCTCAGCAATTTAGGCGTTGCCCCTTGTTTCTTTGCGTGGTTTTGGGTAGACCGCCTTGGTACCAGGTTTTGATTGTGACGGTGTTGCTGGCATCTTGGGAACGGTTTCAGTTCAGTTGCACCCGTCCATCCCTCTTTGTGTGATGGGTTCCCTATGAACAAGCATGACAAGTCCATATGAAAGGACTTCCCTAGTAAAAATGCTCGTCCCCTAAAAAAAACGGAAATCGATATGAGCAATGAACATGTATTTTGAACAATGAATGAACATGAACTACATTCCCATTTTGAGACCGAATGTTTGCCCTTACAAACACTCATACAGCTCCCCAGGCCATACGGCGCTTTTGTGGGTTGGTTCCGTGTGGCAGAAGCGATCCATCCAAAAGGTATTGGATAAAGACCGGCAAATTGCTTGAAATCACTAAGCGATGGTTATCAACTTCAGGATTCATTGAAGTTGAATTTTGAAGAGCGGCCCTGGGAGGATTGCTTCAAAGGAGGCTTCAGAGTTTGCATGGGGGTTGTTCTGGCATTCAAAGGAATCGCTTTGGAGTTCTGCACGTCCAGGCGGTCTTCGTACATCATTGCCTGACTTAGCTAGCCTACATGTTGAATTTATCGCCTTTGTGGTTTTCCTTTATTTCCTTGTCAACCAGTCGAAGCAAGCCCAGGTGGTATCCCCCACAACAATACCAGTTTGTTTTTATTACCTAGAGGTCAGAGCCACTGATTCCTTCATTTCAATTTCCACCAGCCCGAGAATTTTTTTTTGCCGCACTAAGTCTGCCCATATTGTGTCGAAGAACCAAAATAATGGCGTCCTTTGCTTCCATTTGCTTAAGATGTGTTGTTGGTTCTCCGTTGTTGGTGTGAAAGGGGGTCTGTCTAGGGGAAATGAAGCACGTGGAGGACCTGGTCCGGGGTACCTTCAAGAAGCGCAGCGTTGCGGCCAGGACTACAACGCGGTACTTGCGGAGGGCGCAACTTCGATGGACCCGACGAGACGACTTGCGATTGCGAACGGTTTCGCGGCGGTTTCGGGCGGCGCACAGATACTGATCAACGAATGGGAACTCAGGGGGATTTTAGCGGCTTGACTACGCCAACTCACTAAGCCTAACATCATGATCAGCTTGTACTTGTTTAGTGCCTAGACAGAAGCACACACTGAACATGCGCTTGCAATCCGGAGTGGGCATCGTAGCGCTGAGCCTCACAAAGAGAGTGAGCCCATGTCTTGGGTCCCGTGTTGGTGACAAACATATTAACTCACCCAGCGTGGAGAGCACACGATGTGCAGCTTGTTTAAGTTGGAACCCCTTTTGGGGATTGTCTAGACTTCTGTTCATCACGCCCAACAAACAGATATGAGGGGTTGCTATTTTTGGAGGAAAAAGTGGCAACAGGCGGGTACTATGGTGGAAAAAGGAACTGCCTGTATTGACAACCACCCAAATGTGATCCAGAGACGTGCATGCAGCTCTAGGACCAAGCCGTCATGCGGCTCATGCAGAGGCGTGGTTCCGACGGGCCAGCTTCCACTTGCCCATTCCTTTCAAGGGTCCTGTGCAGCAAACAACAACACGGGGAACCTAAAGGGAAACCAGCGGATTTGGGTCCTTTTTCCGGGGGAGGTTCCCTAACTTTGTCTCTGATGAGTGACACTTTATCCGTGTAGATGCTTGCAGTCCTGAAGTCCTGAGCATTAAGCTAGGCCGTCAACAACGTGGCCCTTAGAAGCAAGCGTCACCATGTGTGTGTGTGTGTTCTTACTTGTTCTTGACAATACCAGACCAAAGGCTTGCCTACTTTGACAACTGTTTGCCCTGAAGGTTGTTCTTCATTTTCCTTTAAGCTCGCACATGCACCATAAGCCGTTTGGCTTGCAGATGCTGCCTGGAGCGCATGTACAAGCAGGACAACCAGGAGGGCAACAGCGGAGGACCCGGCTGATTCGACTTGTTCGCTAGTTGTTTCCCGGACAACCACTAGGGTCTCCACGGAACATTATGGTATAGTTTAGGGTAGACTACATGTGAGCAGCGCCCAAACCCCATTGGTCATTTTATACTACCCGGTTCAGTAGGGGTTGTAGTTTTAATATCAACCTTTCGAATCGCGTTGGGAGAAAAAACAAGTCAGCAGGTTTCGGGCGCTGCTCAAATGCAAGGGACGCCGACGTTTTTCGGCTTTTTTGACTCGGACGAACGCCGAGTCCAGCCGGCTGCTTGCTTTCTCCTAGTTGCGCGTTTGAGGCTCCCTTTTTAAGGTCGGGGGAGGAATCTTGTGCCGGGGGTCTGGTTTCACACATAGCCCATCTTTTCGGATATGGTTTTCTTTTGAAGCCAACCAACAAAAGGTGCCGTGCCCTTTTTTCCTATGGCCTCGTACGAAGACCGAAAGATGGAAAGATAGAGGTTTGGGGTCTCTCTTGAAATGTTGTTGCATTTTGAGGTGCACTAAGTATGGACAAGAATCTTACACATGTGTTTGGCTGGGAAAAAAAGAAAAAACACGCAGATGGTTGTGTTGGTTTGCATGCATGCATCCATGCATGCATGCATCCACCCATTCATCCATCCATCCTTTCACCCATCCTTCCTTCCTTCCTTCCTTCCTTCCTTCCTTCCTTCCTTCCTTCCTTCCTTCCTTCCTTCCTTCCTTCCTTCCTTCCTTTTATCTTCCCGCCCTCCCTCCATCCCTCCCTCCCTCCATCCCTCCCTCCCTCCCTCCATCCCTCCCTCCCTCCCCCTCCCTCCATCCATCCATCCATCCATGCCTCCCTCCCTCCCTCCATCCCTCCCTCCATCCCTCCCTCCATCCCTCCCTCCCCCTCCCTCCATCCATCCATCCATGCGTCCCTCCCTCCCTCCATCCATCCATCCATGCCTCCCTCCCTCCCTCCCTCCCTCCCTCCATCCATTCATCATGCCTCCCTCCCTCCCTCCCTCCCTCCCTCCATCCATCCATCCATCCATGCCTCCCTCCCTCCCTCCCTCCCTCCATCCATCCATCCATCCATCGAGTAGCCATCCGTCCATCCATCCATCCATCCATCCATCCATCCATCCATCCATCCATCCATCCATCCATCCATCCATCGAGTAGCCATCCGTCCAGTGGTTTGCTTATGCGTTCGTTTGTCCACTCAATCCCGCCCAATGCAATCACATCTACTTCAGTCGAGCCCAACGCAAGATACCCAGTCCAACGGAACCCAATTACGTCCAATCCAAATAGTCCATTGCAGCCCTCCAATATTCCTTACCCCCCCCACGGGAGCCCGATCGCAGAACCAACCAAGCTGGAAACCTCCTTTCTGCACAGTGGGGATTCCCGGAGCAGGGATGGCCCAACAGAAAGATTGGGTTTTCCTTTGACTTCTGATTAATTCAAGCCAAAAAGGCAATCACTCTCAACAAAATCACACGTTTGTTGACTGATAACACAACCGCCACACACTAGTCGCAATCGGTCTCCCATGGCTTCATCTGGGCGTTTTTGTTCAGTGTTTCTTTGTTGTCGGGACACCCCGTTTGGTTGAAACCACCCACCGAAATTGGAGGGGGTGCCATTTTGACACACTCAGTGAGTCTCTCTGGACGGGGGGAGTTTGCTTTTCTGGACACGTTTCGGTCCACAGGACCGAAGCTCCAGCGGAAGGCCACGCGCGTCTCCATGAGCTCCAGCGCAGACTCCTCCGAGCAAACGCCGGGGCCCGGGAGCGAAGCTTCGCGGCCAGAGATCCAGCGGCCTCTTGCGATAGGCAGGGAATGAGTGGGAACGAGCCTTTCATATTCCATCCCTGTTTCCTTTCAGGGCGAGTTTCTGGAATAGGACAAGCTGTTTGAACGTCCCCTGAACTTTTCTGGGGTATGCTGAGTTGCTGGACTGGGCTCACTTGTTGTTGGTGGGGGGGGGCATCCTCGAAAATGAGGAACTTAGGCTGGAGAACTCAGTGATCAGGAGTTTGTTGAGCAAAGCCCATGATCAAGGTTCCGTATTTAGGCACATCCCACATAAAAACTTTAGAGCCTCCGGCTCAGTCCGCCGACATTGTCCTCTCCCTTTTCTCCTTCTTCCTCTCTTCCTTGTCTCCCTTGTGTGTTCTGTCGTCCTCTCTCCCTCCCTCTGCTCCCATCCTCCCCATCCCCCCAAGCCTCTCTCTCCCCACGCTCCCTCTCTCGTATGTATGCATGCATGTACATATGTATGGGATGTATGTATGTTTGTATGTATGTATGTATGTATGTATGTATGTATGTATGTATGTATGTATGTATGTATGTATGTATGTATGTATGTATGTATGTATGTATGTATGTATGTATATATGTAATGTATGTATGTATGTATGTATGTATGTATGTATGTATGTATGTATGTATGTATGTATGTATGTATGTATGTATGTATGATATGTATGTATGTATGTATGTATGTATGTATGTATGTATGTATGTATGTATGTATGTATGTATGTAATGTATGTATGTATGTATGTATGTATGTATGTATGTATGTATGTATGTATGTATGTATGTAATGTTGTTATGTAATGTTGTTATGTATGTATGTATGTATGTATGTATGTATGTATGTATGTATGTATGTATGTATGTATGTAATGTATGTATGTATGTATGTATGTATGTATGTATGTATGTATGTAATGTTAATGTATGTATGTATGTATGTAATGTATGTATGTATGTATGTATGTATGTATGTATGTATGTATGTATGTAATGTATGTATGTATGTAATTTATGTATGTATGTATGAATGTATGTATGTATGTATGTACTGTATGTACTGTATGTATGTATGTATGTATGTATGTATGTATGTATGTATGTATGTATGTATGTAATGTAATGTATGTATGTATGTATGTAATGTATGTGTGTATGTATGTATGTATGTATGTATGTATGTATGTAATGTATGTATGTATGTATGTATGTATGTATGTATGTAAGTACGTATGTATGTATGTATGTATGTATGTATGTATGTTCTGTATGTATGTATGTATGTATGTATGTATGTATGTATGTATGTATGTATGTATGTATGTATGTATGTATGTATGTATGTATGTAATGTATGTGTGTATGTATGTAATGTATGTATGTATGTATGTATGTATGTATGTATGTATGTATGTATGTATGTATGTATGTATGTATGTATGTATGTATGTATGTATGTATGTATGTGTGTGCAATGTATGTATGTATGTATGTATGTATGTATGTATGTATGTATGTATGTATGTATGTATGTATGTATGTATGTATGTATGTGTGTATGTATGTATGTATGTATGTATGTATGTATGTATGTATGTATGTATGTATGTATGTATGTATGTATGTATGTATGTATGTATGTATGTATGTATGTATGTATGTATGTATGTATGTATGTATGTATGTATGTATGTATGTATGGATGGATGTATGTATGTATGTATGTATGTATGTATGTATGTATGTATGTATGTATGTATGTATGTATGTATGTATGTATGTATGTATGTATGTATGTATGTATGTATGTAATGTATGTATGTTGTATGTAATGTATGTATGTATGTATGTATGTATGTATGTATGTATGTATGTATGTATGTATGTAATGTTTGTAGGTATGTATGTATGTATGTATGTATGTATGTATGTATGTATGTATGTATGTATGTATGTATGTATGTATGTATGTATGTATGTATGTATTGTAATGTAATGTAATGTAATGTAATGTAATGTAATGTAATGTAATGTAATGTATGTATGTATGTATGTATGTATGTATGTATGTATGTATGTATGTAATGTATGTAGTGTATGTATGTATGTATGTATGTATGTATGTAATGTATGTATGTATGTATGTATGTATGTATGTATGTATGTATGTAATGTATGTATTGTATGTATGTATGTATGTATGTATGTATGTATGTATGTATGTATGTATGTATGTATGTATGTATGTATGTATGTATGTATGTATGTATGTATGTATGTATGTATGTATGTATGTATGTAATGTATGTGTGTATGTCTGTGTGTTGTATGTATGTATGCATGCATGTATGTATGTATGTATGTATGTATGTATGTATGTATGTATGTATGTAATGTAATGTAATGTAATGTAATGTAATGTAATGTAATGTAATGTAATGTATGTATGTATGTATGTATGTATGTATGTATGTTATGGTATGTATGTATGTATGTATGTATGTATGTATGTATGTATGTAATGTATGTATGTAATGTATGTATGTAATGTAGTAATGTATGTATGTATTGTTTGTATGTATGTATGTAATGTATGTATGTATGTATGTATGTATGTATGTATGTATGTATGTATGTATGTATGTATGTATGTATGTATGTAATGTATGTATGTATGTATGTATGTATGTATGTAAGGTATGTATGTATGTATGTATGTATGTATGTATGTATGTATGTATGTATGTAATGTATGTATGTATGTATGTATGTATGTATGTATGTATGTACGTATGTATGTATGTATGTAATGTAAGTAATGTATGTATGTATGTATGTATGTATGTATGTATGTATGTATGTATGTATGTATGTATGTATTAATGTATGTATGTATGTATGTATGTATGTATGTATGTATGTATGTATGTATGTATGTATGTATGTATGTATGTATGTATGTATGTATGTATGTTTGTATTTAATGTATGTATGTATGTATGTATGTATGTATGTATGTATGTATGTATGTATGTATGTATGTATGTATGTATGTATGTATGTTATGTATGCATGCATGCATGTTATGTTATGTTATGTAAGCAAGTAAGTAAGCAAAGTTAAGTAAGTAAGTATGTATGTATGTATGTATGCATGTATGTATGTATGTAGTTATGTATGTAATGAATGTATGTATGT